ACGAAACCGCGCTAATCGAAATACGTAGCGCGCGTACATGCGTTTACATGCTATATATTTAAATGCGTATTGTTAATTAACAATAGATATCGATTTCTCGTCCTAGTTAGTTCATTAATGTGATACATGCATTAATAATAATTTCCATTTAAATTACATCGTCGATTGATCAGTTTATCCTGGAGATGTCCGTTTCTGCGTGAACGGACCGCAACAATCAGGGTTTTACCGTGCGTATAGTTTGACGAATGGCAGCTTGCGGGTTACCGCCGATTCCGCAACGCTTTGCGGGCTAATTCCGCATCGATTTTGTTGGTATTTGCGGGAGGATCATCGTTGTCCGAATTTTCAGAGGCAGAGAAATAGAATTTCATTGTCTAATTAATTGCCATATGTGGGGGAATGAGCTTAATTAACATTATAGTAATGATGCTTATGTATTGCACGTTGCGCTTCACGTGATCGACAATGACAATTAACGACGTTGCAAACAATAATTTCGCCGTGAGGAGAGAGGAGAAGGAATCGCTTGCGCGATCCCATAAAGCTGTCGCCGTGTGTTGAGTCGCTGTGTGTGTTGTAATTAAATGTCACGCTTGAATAAAAAAGAGCCGTATGCATCATGACGCAATGTTTCTCACGCGCCGTTTGCATTTATCTGTCTGCGAGAGTTTTTAGTTCGCGATTAAACAGCGTGACGTAATTTTTGCAAATCCTCGCGCGCGGAAAAAATACTACAGGCGAAATTTAACGCGCATTAATTACGACGAGACTTGTTATGTAGAAATCGATTGCACAAATTTCGGAAATTAATAACAAACGTCGTTGACACAATACACAGGATTTGAACGTGTCATTTAAATATTTCGAATTTTTTTCCAAACCAAGTACAATACATCAAAATTTCAAAACAATCGGGAAACAAAAAAAAATAAGAGGAATAAAATAAATAAATTCTATATTAAATTGTAAAACAAATAAGTTGCACATCTCGTTGCAATAGTTTTAATTAAAAAATATGTTATTCACTTTCGCGTTATAAAACGATCGATGAAAGGCAGCTCTTGTTCATTTACATATCGGAAAAAAAATCATTTTTATTTTTAAAATTCAAAGTACTTGTGAAACAAAAAACAAATATAATTACCCCCCTCCCCCCAGTGAAATTTATTTATTTCTTTGTTATTTTTTTTTCGAAGCGCGAAAGTATTGCTCTAGAATCGATACGCAATGAATTTGTAATGTGTATATCGATTACGGCGTGGTGTACCGGGTCAATTTCTCCGTAATTCGGTCTTCAAATGAACTGTCGGCGCAAACGCTAATTCGTTCTCCAAACGTACGTACATGCATTACGCGAAACAGGCTGTCAGACGGCGAGCGAGCAAATTGCTGGTAGAAACCAACGCCAGCTCTTCCATCTAATTGAAATCATCCTCCGTAAGTGACTGCGGTAGCAGAGCCACAATTGCGACTGCAAATTAACGTGTGCGTTGTATTACTTAAGATATTTGAAATTCCGTCGCCTCTTTAAATTAAAGGGAAAGAGAAAGAGAGAGAGCACTTTATGTACGTCTATAAATATTTACGTGTAAAAGTACGTGTACGTGTGTTTTGTAAAAAGATCAATTAGATGAAAACTACAGAGAAATTCTGTTTCTTTTGCAAAAATAGATAGGGTAAAAGACCCAATTACCGTCACCCTAAGCTATTTTATTTAAAATATTAAATAAATCTTAAGAAGTTCTGCATGAAAACAATCTAACATAGAATTTTAAGTGCAATTAATATAACAAAAAAATCCAGCACTCAACATTCGCGTCTCATTTCTTTCATTTTAGGGGGTGACAGTAATAGCTCTCGCATCGTTCTTTTTTAATTATTAAATTTATAAATAAAAATAGAGATTTTGAGAGACGGTATTATTTTGTTCCTTATATTAGAGACATCGAATAATATCAGATAAGAAGAAAAACACATGTTTTTGATAAATAAGTAGTAAAAACAATTCACTAACGCGCCAGAGTTTATTATTCAGATGACAGTAATTGGGTCTTTTACCCTAATATCAAGATTTTCTTTTACGTAAAGTTGCTTGAGAAACAAAACAGTCGATGAATTCGTAAAATTCGTAATTTTCTCTTACGATATCTTAATTCTGTTAATTTCAATAAAGTCAAGAAGAAGTTTGTGCGTACTTTTTTTTTAAAGTAACGTCATCGTATGTGTGTCGCCGCGCACTATAAATGCGACGAATCACACGTTGAGCAATTCCGAAGCTATTTACCGACATTATCAACCGTTCGATACATCGAGCCCGCTTTGAAGCGGAACAGCCGGGATGTAACGAGATGTATCTACCATCGTGATTCCAGACACGTTCTATTCGGCGGAAGCTGTTTGAGAGATAGATAGAGAGAGAGAGAGGGAAAGAACCAACCCAAGGTCCGATCTTTGTGGGAAAGAGAAACGAGCCGCGTCTCGAGTCGCGCCGAAGGCGACGACGACGACGACGCTGCCGATACGATGAATCAGTGGAGACGTCGATGTACCCATAAAGAGACAGTCGCGGCGACAAAGGGGTGGGAGAAAGCGAGTATACGCGTTTAAGAGATGGTTGCCATGGTGACCGCTGGCGGTCGGCCAGGAAAAAAGCTCTGATAATGTGACACGAGGCTCCTCACGAGGGAGATCGGGCCTGGCCTCGTTTCCGAGCCTCGTCCTCGAAACACCCCTCTCTCTGGAGAGACCTTAACCGAATATTTTCGCCGCGCAAACCAACTTACCCGATCTCTCGCCCCCCTCCTCGAGCGACCCTTCGCTAATCCGTCGTTGCGCCGCCGCTGCAAAGAGCGCGAGAATGACTTTAATGGAACGTCGCGCTAACTTTTTTTTATTTAGCCGGAATAATTGCAAGCGCGCGTACCAAGCGCGCCTTGTAACCCCAAGTTCGATATCTTTGCTCGTCGAAGCGAGAAATACGCTGTCGAGAAATGCGCGAAAATTGCATTTTCCTCGAAACGACCTTGGGCCGATTGCGGCATTAATGCGCCGCGTATTCTCGAGAATACGCTCGATTATGTACTGGCAAAGAAAAAGTTTGGATACCGCGGCCGCAGAATTTTAAATTTTACACCGTCCGCCGATACGACGGACGAGCCTCGTCGTCGACGAAAACAACGGAAACATAAAAGTAACAACACCTCGGTGCTGCGCGGGACGCGCTGATTTTTTCTCGATACCAGTTTCCGGGGGGGCCGATGGTTTATTTCTCTTTTATGGAGTCGCTGCGCGCGAACAAGGTACTGAATTTGAGAGTCGTCATCGCGCCAAAACGCGGGCAATGTCGCGCCGCATCTCTCGGACAAAAAAAAAAAAAAACGTGCGATATAATTCCTCGCTCTCTCTCGTCGCCCAATAAACCGAAACGAGTATCGGCGCTGCCGCGGGCGTGCGCGCGGAGTTGCGGAATATTAAATTCGCAATCGCATTACCGCGGCGGCGCAAGAATTTTTCAGGTCGGTTTACGACGCGGAAAAAGGAGGAAAACACCGGGTGCCGTTGGGGTTGTGTAGCTCGTTCCGCGGATAAGTAATGACATTATGCAGCTAAATACAAGTAGCGAGCGTCGGGGCATTTCCCAATAGATGCCTCGAGGCTCGAGTTTTATGCGAGCTATAATTGCCAAGAGCGAACTTGCCACAGGATTCCATCGCTCGCTCCCGAGATAAACAGAAAAGTTTGAATATTAGAGGAAAATAGTCAATTTTTTTTTTTTTTTTTATTAATAATAAACGAGAAGAAGATTCTTCGGGTTCCGGAGTCTTTAAACTAATGAGTGAAATAAAGTCGGTTGTAGGAGCCGTTTGCAGGATGTTGCGCATCGAAGAATCTTCTCTTCTTGTTTATTATTAATTGAAATTTACGCTGGTGTGTGGAAGATGGCGTTATTGTCAGATTAATATTCGATAGATGTGCCGAGTATTGCGAGACAAACTCCAAGTGGCCCAACAGGGAAAGCGACGGCCCGGAAAGCCGGAGATTCCAGGTTCTCGACTCCTGGCTGAGGAGTTTTTTTCGCAATATTTGAAAATTATTTAGGAGTCCTTCACATATACGTGATGCAAATCCAGCATCCTATATGGAGGAAAAACAATTATTTCGACGTATATATGTGTATACATATATATATTTTTTTAAGCACATTCTATGCACAACATCCTGCAAACGGCTCCTACAACCGAATTTATTTTATTCATCAATTTTTTTGTTTTTTTTGTTTTCTTTCTCTTGTCGTTTAAAAAGAAAATAAAAATTATCTCCTCACATATCGTAAAACTTTTTTTTAAGACTAGCATAACAGGCGCGCGCTACGCGCAAGCTATTGTTATTTTTATTTAACGTGTTGTCAGTGAACACAACCTGTCACCGCGATGACAGATAGTATATACGTCTTATAAATAATACACATATGAAAAATGTCAGAAATAACGCATGAAAATCAAACTTAAAAAATAGTGAGAGAGAGAAGTGGAAAAACAACACGTGACTAAAGTCACGTAACAGGGAAAAGGGTAAAAGAGAATATTATATATATTATATGTAA